GTGAAACATGATACTGTCACTGCATAGTCCTTTGAAAGTTGACTTCAGTGAAGGTGTTTAATAGTGCAAAGAGTTTAATTAATGTTTTAGAACCAAAGAGACATTTATTTTCAAGAGAAACATAAAAATGATGCTCTAGAAGAGCGTGTGTGCTGTGACAGTTTGATATCAAAAATTATTGGCTTACAAGAATGTGAGGGCTTGGGCACAATTGGATCAGTGTGTTGAGCAATGACAGAAAGGGTGTCTCAGCTCTTGTACAGCCCCAGAGCAGAAGCACTGACAGAATTTAATGAAAATGTGCGATACAAACACACAAACATCCAACATCTCAAAAAGGGAAGAGCCAAGAGCTTTTATTTGCAAACAAAAGGTCCCTGACACTGAACATAATTCTTGGTGCTCCCTTTTGGCATTTATTCACAGTAGGACTGCTTTCTGCTTTCCCTAGTCCCAGCAGCCAGTTTAAAAAGGATCAGACAATTAGCCTGAGTTCCAGGCAGAAACTGGATTTCTGTTTGTCAGGGTTCCCTGTGTAGCCAAAAAGGAAACAGAGATGATCCCTCACACCACAGAGAGGTGGCTGAGACATTCAGGATGCAGTGTCCTGGTTAGATGAAATGTCTGTCCAGCCTCAGAATCCAATGGCAACAGAATGATCTTGGATCTACCTTTGTCTTAGCTAAACTGTGGATGCAAACCAACATAATTGCATGGTAAAATGATTCAATAAACACTGTTATCTGGGCAAGTCACTTTGGAGGGGATTTCACCTGAGACAAAGAAAATAATTTTTTATTTGGTAGAAGAATGCCCAGATAGGGAAATGGGCTTGTTTATTTGTAGTAATTTAACTCAACATCTGTGTAATGAATAAAACTTTAACTATGGGACAAGTCCATATATCAAAGTGAAGTGTTGCTTTTCCTGAAAGGCAGCACTTCTTGTGTGTGGCCACGTGGCTCAGTGAGCCTGAGAGCTTCAAGCAGTAAGGGATGGGGTTATTTTGACATAATATGAGTGGTTTATTCCTCTCCACCTTGATCCATGATTGTGCCTGTCATTGTACAAGATTTCTGATTATGTCAAAGAGCAGCAATGTGTACTATGTACAGAATAAGGAATTCCTTACCTGAATTCTGGTGCACAAAGGTACAAGCAAAAGACAGACATTTACATTTTCTGGAGAACACAATTATCTATTTGTGCATTAAAGCATCATTCATTTCATGGCCCTCTGTGTTATGGAATAGAAAATAATACATGTGGACAGGAAGAATACCCCAGTCCTGTTCTGGAAAAAAACCCCTCAGCCAAAATAAGTATTTGACTGTTTTGCAAGATACTGTCTCACATGATGTAATATCAGGCACCTGGTGTAGTCTCATCATCATTGGTCTCAGCTTTTGTCCATGACTAACAAAAATTAGGCAACATATTAAAAAAAAAAAGGAAAGGACTGTGGGCCAGATGGTTTTTGAGAACTGACTAAAGTGGGAGGTGAAGTAAGCATTTGACAATGCACGGGGAAAAGATTAATCATCACTTCATGTTCTACGTCCAAACCAATTGTGTCTGTGTTATCTGTGATGCCTGATTTTGCTTAGGACAACAGGCATTCCCTGTCTGGGACACTGGACTGTCCCTCTGAAGGAGAGCTGGGATCAGGCAGATACAAACAGCCTGCATAACTCAGATATGCACAGAAATCCTTACAGGTATTCGCACAATTTGATCACAAACTACCACGTCTGAACCACAGAATACTGCATGTTTAAGTAATTCAAAATGCTGGCACCTCCTGTTAAAGGCTATGTTGGCTATTTGTGTTTGTTTTCAATAGGATTCACAGGAATATCCTGGGATCACACAGGAAATTTGTCCCACGTGCCCGGGCTGGGCCGCAGGGGGAGCGGTGCCTGCCCTCCTTTGCCAGCTGTGACCTGAGGGTGCTGTGCAGGGCTGGAACCACCTGCACACCTGGTGCCAATGCCCTGCACCAGACAGCCTGCAAGGGATACCCAGACTGAGCACTGCACCTGTGGGGTACCAAGGACTTCTTTGGAAGTGACTTAACTTCGTTTGTTTTGTAGATCAGATGGCAAACACTGGAACAGAAGAATCTACAAGGGGATGCAGGCATAGAAAATCATAAATTGACACTATGTTAGCCTTTTTGTTCAGGTAACACACGTCAAACATGTTGAATTTTGCATTTTAAAATGCCAGGTATGGCACACCAAACTATTTCAGCATTTTTAAATTTTCCAATCAAATTCCAAAAGCAATTATCAAAGGCCTACTATATATCTAATAACTATTTGCATAGTTGGAACCTAGTTTAAGTTGGTACCTCCATGGTAAGAATATTTTTGTTAAATACTGTCCTTTTGTGGCAGTTTTTCTATGGACCTGACAGCTGATTATTTTTGTGCACAAAGGACATTAAGCAAAATGAACACAACTCATATATGCAGGTGGATAGAAGTGGTTCCTGATACACACACAAACACACTCTATTTGTCTGTGTATATACATATATAAGTTGTATAGAAGTACGACATTTGACACAAATTTGTGAATTTTTATGTTCCTGATCTATATTTTCTTGTAATATTCCATGACTACTTGATATACTAAAATCTGTTGTGATATTTAGACTGTTAACACCATTACAAAAGCAAACATTTTTTTTATTTTTTTCATTACTTTCAGGGCTATCAGCCCTCATTTCACATCCTGTTTTGTGAAAAGAGAGGCCAGTTTCAACAGGTTTAGATTTCACTTTTGGGAGAGGGAAGAATTAGTAGTTCAGAGACGGCTCAGATAAGCCTGACCTTAACTGACACAGTGGTATGTTGGTTTCTGCTCAGTGAAGGAGAAAGAGGGAGAAGCAATATTGCCAAGAACTTCAAAATCATGAAGATTTCAGCTTAGATTTTCTACAGATGACTTAAAACAAAAGACATACGAATTCCTACAGTTAAGTATATTTTGTCTCCATGACCTCCCATCAGATGTGAAAAGCAAGGGGCTCAGTTTCTGGCTCCCAGGACATCTCCAGGTAATGTCCCAAGGGCTCCCACAAGCACAGTCCCTGCTGAGGGGGAGACTCCCCTGTTTGGGTTCTGCTTCTGACTCCTCCAACTCCTGCTGCTTCTGTGGCCCCCAGACTCTCACACTGGATGGCTCAGCCTTTGCTTAAAAGGAACTTAGGTTTCCTTGCTCCATCTTTCTGGATTAAATGGGATTCAATTCCTGAGCACTTTTTTCCTTTTCTTTTCTGCCTTATTTCTTTGCTGCTGCTCAAAAACTTTGACAGAATCTCTATGAGCTTCTTATAGGTGAGTTTTTCAGTGGCATATTAGTTGCCTTTGTTCATCTAGGCTGGTGCTCTGCCTCCAAAACTGGGAAGAAGGTGAGAGAAATATGAGAGTTCCTGGTTTCAGAAAAGCTCCCCCGAAGAAAACTGTCTTTTCTAATACCTGATAATTAAAAACTCATATCTGAGGGTTTATTTACATTCTAATTCATCTCCTGAGGTTAAAAGTGTTTTATTTCTTAGTAATGTAGTTCCTGATGTTGCTGTCATTGTTGAAATATTTGGGTCTCTGTACGTAGCTGTGCTCTGGGTCCTCATGGTGCCCTGGAAGGAGCCGATAAACACGCTGGGCAGCGGCAGCACATGCTCCCGGAGCAATCCAGCCAACATTCCTCAGCTCTGACCCGAGGACCACCTCTGAAGATAAGAGTCCCTTCTTATCAGTGAGCCCTCGCTTTCTCTGCCAAGGCTGTCAGCAAAAAGGACAGTCAGAGCCAACACTGGAGCTGTGGAGCAGGGGCTCATTCACCAGAAACCCTTCCGTGATCACTGGAGTGATTTCATATCCGCCACTAGAAAATTTATATCGGAACATATTCACATTCCCCTTTCACCCAGAGCTAGAACCCTGGAGATCTGGCAAATGACCAATTCTGTGCCTCATTAGTTTGTTCCAGAGCTGGCACTTATGTAACTCTGAATCTCTCTGCAGTGTGTCAGGAATCACACACACACTGGCTGCACTTTGCAGACCGGGAGGGGTTGTTACCTGTTCAGAGATGAAACCTTAGAACCGTTGGATATATTCTAAAAATCAAACATTTAAATTGCTATCTCTACTCTTACCTCCTCTTGATGTAAATGGTCATGTTACAATTTTAAATATTCTTCATGTGACTAATTATTTGCCTAAATCATAAATATTCCTTTTCCTTTGCAGATATTTGATATGGTAATTGCTGGTTTTCAGTTCTCAGAAGTCACTGCCACATAACCAGAGGATGGCTGAGAGACCAGTTGTCTTAAAAGCTTTGGTTCTGCAGACTTGCTCATCTGCTGTTCAGTAGCAACATAAAATAGCAACACAGGTTCTTATAGTGCCAAATCATCCTGACTCTGCAGACAGCTCTTTCCATAACGTGCATGAAAAGATTAAAAGTTAGTCAATAATTTTTCAATTAATCATGGTTTTCCATCAAATCATTTTCCTAGGATGACCTTAAAACACTTTGTAATTTTATTTCATGTATCTCAGTGCATATAAAACTGTGCTCATGCATCATTTGACATTCCTTGACTGAGGAGGTTGATGTTTTGGCAGAGCTGGGTGTTGATGTCTTTATGGATGGAAAATTTTGGTTTTATATTGTATCAGTAACTCTACAAGATGTGATACTGGGATTTAGGGATCTAATCTCCTGGAAAATGATGAGTGAGACTCAAGTCTATTCTTGCTAAGCTTTGAGAGAAAGGCTGACACTAGGGGCGTATGCAAGTGCTCTTTAGCTGTTCGTTTGACACTGAAAGTCTGAAGTACAAGAAAATCATTGTTTTTAGCCTGGCTCCAGCAGATGTATTTATAAAATATACAGATTCTCTTTACATTTTAAGTAAGACTTAAATAAGCCTGAAATTTGAAGCATCTGTCTCTTGGAATAGGATGCTATGGAATATTTATTTTTCCTGCTGTGCGATATTTACTGTCTTACAGCCTGTATCTACAGTCCTGCAGCACAGCGAAAAGAAATCCTGATCATGTTAAACTCCGACAATTTCACTTTTGCTGTGGGAACATGATGGGCTATTTTCTATTTCCTCAGAAACTCGTTGGAATTTACCTTGGAATTCATGTGAGAGCTTCAGGTTTGTACTTCTCCCTGTGCCACCTGTTTGTCTATTTTATAGCAAACATTCATCCCGATTTGCTTTTGGCAATGATCTCAATGATCTTTGCCTTTCTCCTCTTCTGCATGAATTAATGTTTCGCTGTACAGTGAGTGGAGATTAGCTGATCAAAACAGCATCCACCTTTCCATCCTCTGTGGGCCAAAATCCTGTGGGATCTATTTCCAAGATACTCCTACAAGGCAGAGCAGGTCTTTAGCCTCACTGTGCTGTGGGACAGGTAACTTCCCAAATCCTGGGTCAGGCAGCTTTGCTGGATTCTTCTTAATGTCCCATGACACTTTGGATCCAAAAGCACTAAATCCCAAGTTTGCCCCTTGTGAGCATTACAAATGATGTCTTAATCTACCAGCACTGGAAAACCTCTTTTTTATGTCTTTGTTTTTAATACATTTTTATTTACAACAGAAAAATACAAAAGCAAGTCCCACAAGCTTTTAATTTAAATTTTTAAAACAAAGTGAGCTGTCCTGAGTCTGTCTACTGCAGGCACTGTCAAGACAATTCCATCTTGAATACTTTCTGTTTTAAAAATATTCTGCCAAGAATATATGTTTCAAAATTTTGATTGGTCTTTTTAAAGTGATAGGCATCTGTTGTTGAATATGTTGAGATGAACAGAGAATGTTTTTCCTGCTAATTACAGTGTTAGCACTTATGTCACATTCCAGATTTATTCCCTAACTTGGGAGGTAGGTAAATAAAGAGATAGAGTCTCCTTCAACTGCAAAGGGAAGGACAGAGGTGGAATAACAAGGTAGACCCAGGTTTTGAAGTCGTCAGTTCACAGGTTGAAGTTCTGTGCCTAGCTCACTACAAACCATTACACTGGCAGATATTGGTTCATTCAGCCCTCTAGAAACCTAATCATCTTAGGATTTCCAGTGTCTAAGTTCACAATAACATTAATTACCACGCAGAAGTCTGGCTATTTCAAGACAATTAAGAGATATTAAGAGAATTGGTGGAAGAATGAATCAGGGGTCACAGTCTAGTTCAGAATACAGCCAACCAGTGCTCAATCTGACAAATGAAAACAAAATACAAAGCTTGAGAGGAGCCAAAAAATATCTTAATAAATAATTAGAGCTTGTAGGTTTCAGGGAGCCGGGTTCCCTTGGCGACAGTGGGCAGCAGCCGTTTCTGAACAAACAAGATTGGATTTGTGTCCCGGTGCAGCAGCCCCGGCCCGGCCTGTGGGGCTCTGTGCCAGACGAATCCCTCCATGTGCTGGAGGGGCACAAACGTGGGGCATTCCCAAGAGGTGCCTCAGATGAGATGGCTCTGTGCTCCAAAGACATCCCTGGCAGTGATGGGGACACTGCTGGGGACATCTTTTAACTAACGAGAAGCTGCCGAGTTTCACGTGTGCTCCGGATTCAGGGGTGCTGAGCTCCTGAACCCAGTCATGTCTGTGGGGTTTCTGTAGGCTCAGCAGGTGTAAAAACAAACAGACCAACAAATAAGCAGGCCTGCAGGTGACGGCTTTGGGCAGGTGTGATGTCCAGCTGTCTGCAGTGTGTGCACACTGTATGAGAGAGAGAGGCCGGCCCTGGGAAACGCCTCCAGCAGCAGCAGCCAGGTTGTGCTCGCAGAAGAGCTTTGCCACAGCAAGGTGTTAGCATCTGTAAAATGGAACCCGAGGAGCAGGAAGCAGGCAGTGTTGCCTCTCATCTCATTTGAGGGAATGGTGGTGAGCCCAGGCTCTGGATTGTTTTCCCTTCCCATCGCCTGTGGGATGTTCCTCCCAAGCCACTGCAGCAGGCAGTGCGGAGGGTGGGCATTCAGAGAGGCCTCAGGGCAAGGGGCGTTAGGGGAACAGTGTTTACCCTCCTCTGTATTTGCTGCCTCAGGCAAACGTCCCTCGTTCCTCCAGTGGCCTTAAAATGAAGGGTCTCTCTCCTTGAGCACCCCTGCCCTCCATACAGCTCCTCCTGTCTATCAGCTGCCAGGGGAAGAGAAAAACACCCAAGTGTAAAATTAATGCTTTCTCCTTTTTTTACAGCACTGTTGCACCATCCTATTCTTCCCTTTGGCTTCAAAGGGACTGTGCCAGCACTGACTGCCATCATCCCTTTACCTTCTGGGCCCTGGTCCTGTGCTCCCACATTAAAAGGTTTGTTGCTCTAAGAAGGTGTGTGCCATCATTGGGAGGGAATGTACAACCCCTGGTGCCAGTGAGCCTGACTGGGGCAGGAGCCTCATTGGGTTTGTGGGGAGAGGTGCAGCTGTTGCCTCCTGCTGCTCTCTGGGAGGAGGCCTGGCAGCTTGGCTTGGCTGAGAGCGCTGAGCATGACCTGAGGTGTGTGAGTAAAACCCTCACCTGAGGCTGGGAGAAAAGTGCAGTTAGTGATGGGCTTGTGCTGTTTCTGGTTTCAGTCAGCTCTCATGCACTGGGCAGAGTTAATGCAGAAGTGCTTGGAGATATTGGAGCAGAGCTAGGCGAGCTGGTGGGTCTGGGAGAAGCAGCTTGAATTGTGAAAGGAGGCTCTCTGGATCTGGGATAGCTTGGAATTCCTAGGGAGAAGCTTGCGAGCTGAACTAGAGTCGTAGTTCCTGCTGGTATGGCTCAGCCTTCCTAGGAAGACACTTCAATGTGTGTTTGATTAAGAAGAAAATGGGCAGAACAAGTGGAAAATAACAGTATATCTCAAAGAAAATTCCAGTGGGCAGGAGCTGTTAGTTGGCTTCAGATAGGCTGGACTGTTCTAAGGGATGTGCTTTCTGGAGGTGAGGGAGAGGGGTACAAGTGTACAGCACTTCAGGGTATGAGAAATTAAAGGGCAGCACAGCTGCTAAAAAATTGAAGTTGATGTATTTGCCACTATAAATGCAGCCTGTTTGCCAGAACTCTGCAGTTGGATTAAACTCAAAGCATCTGTTCTCTGACTTCAGAACTATCCCACACTGGGCTGTAGCCATCATCTCTGTTCTCCCCTCAGCAAAAAAGCTGAAGCTCTGTAAATGTTGCCCATCTCCAGTCCAGCAATCCTTGCACCACTTCCAGTTCACTCATTAAACTTTTTTTTCTCCTTTGTCCACCTCTTTGTATAGGTGCTTCCTGATTTCTTTTGCCTTCTGGTGTCTTTATTTCTGTCTTTTCCTTAATTTTTTGCCCCTCTTTTAGAGCCAAGACGTGACTCTGTCATGTGTTCAATGAATTGCCAGATAAAGTACCTGTACATTCTCACTTTCGTGTCCTTCATATTTTGGAGAAGCTCCTTAGAAGCACCCCAAAATAAACTGGACTTTGTTTTCACATGCACAAAATCTATAATATAGATTGCCTATCTGCAATAGGCTTTTGGTTTCCTGAGATTACTTATAGTCATCAGTATTGTCTGGTGTTTCCTTGCTACTTCAGTCTTGTTTAGATTGTAAATAATTTGGATAAGGGTCTTGTCTCTTTATTACAATTATTGAAAAGCTATGACAATTAAATCTTGGCTTATACTTAAGGCTCCCAGTGAATGCTAAGCTCCTGATAACAAAATAATTCAACAGAGTGAAATTAATCTCCTGCTTAGGGTGTTTTCTACAGTCAGTGTGAATCCCTAAAAAAGACAAATATTTTCCAGTGAAACATATAACATAATGATGACTTCAAGTTGTCCACTTATCTTTGTAACTGGCCTGAAATCCAGGGTGGCTGGGAGTCAAAATCCTGTCCTTTCTGGCTTTGTGTGTTCTGCTGGTTACCTGCCTAATGAAGTAATTAGGCAGGGCAATCTCTTTGTCATCCATGAAACCTCTCTGGGAAAGTGGGTTGGAATCATTTAGGTGAAGATTTTTGTTTCAGTATGGATTTGCTGTTTTGTGGAAACATAAGGATGTTATGGGAGGAGATAGGTTTCAATGAATTCACAAGCTTTAAAAAAGATATGAAAAGTCCAGGATCATTCCTGTTGTTTCCAGGCCTTCCTCCTGCAAGTGATGGTAGTTGCATGAAGGCAATTAGAGAATATACTGTTTAGGTTGCAGTGGTTTTGCCATTTTTGTTGAAGTCAATTTTGATCTATGAAAATTTGAGACTTTGAATTTTTGGTTTGAGTTTTGATAAGAAAAGGTTTAATTCTGCTACTTAGTAGAGCTGTAGATAATGAATTCTACTAAACAGAGCTGTGAAAACTAGATCTGCCACAGTTACAGGAATATACTTATTTCAATACAGAGCTTTTTCCTGCCACTGGCAAACCGCCAGGGACATTGATTTTTCTTCTCTGTTCTTGCCTTGTTTTAATATTCTCAGACCAATTTGTCTCATCTGCACCTCTTTTCTAAATCCACTGTCCCAAGCAGTCTTTAGCCTTTAGGCTTTGGGTAAGGCTGTGCTCCCAGGGTGCTGACTTGGAGGGTGCCATTCTTTGGCTGCCAGCTTCAGTGCAGGAGGAGAATTAGTTCTTATCCCCATCCCAAAGGAATGGCAGGAAATTGCAACACAACTGGGAGCTATTTCCATGTTCTGACCATGAGATGATGGCTGCTGGGACAGGGAGTGCATGGCTTCAGTTGCAGGTTAAGTTATGGTATTTTTGTGGCCCTCCCTCCTATGGCATTCAACACTTCTCACCCAGGGGAGGCTGCAGATCCAAGGGGGAAAGAGATGCATAATTAAGAATTAATTGTTACTAAATTTAGATTGATGGGGGAAAAATACTAATAAAAATTGGTAGGAAAGGCTTAGCAAGCACTAGCACGTTTTTTAGGATACTGGCTGAGTTCCCTGAGAACTGATTGCTAGGGCAGGGTGTGAGCCACTGGGACCTGCCCACACGAGCTGGAGGGAAACCAGGAGGCAGCACAGAACTGGGAGAAGCAGCCATGAGCATGGCCCAGAAAGGTAATGGCAAAAGGACTCCACGAGATGCAGAGAAGAAAACAAACTGGACGTTGTGCAGGATTAATCTACTTGCTGTTTTCTCATTGTGTTCTGGAAACTTGAGTTTGTAAACTGAATTGCACCAAAGAAATATCTGTTTTTTATTATCAGTCCTGTCTCCATATGGAAATAAGTCAGTTCAACGTCACGTTTTTTTATTCTTTTAAGTGTCATCGTGTTTTACTGCATCTTTTGGTATCTCTCAACCATTTTCTTTTTATTCATTATAAATGATTAATTCACTAGGCAGTCAGCTTCCCCTGAGTATTGTGGGGTTCTAAATTGCTTATTTGGCCAAAAAAGTATTTTTTACTGGATTAGAAAATCTTGACTGACTACTAAGGAGGGAACTCTGCATAATAAATATTTCTTTTGGGTAGAGCATGACTCTACACTTGAAGAAAAGAAAAATTTTGAGAAGTATTCAAACAGTGTTTATACTTACTGTAGAAGTTGGAATTGTAAGAGACACTTTGCCATTTCTGCCTTGTGAACATATTCTGAAGGACAGAAACAAATTTTAACCTAAAGAATATGATTTTTGATTGGGAAGGAAACTTTATAATGCATGACATAAAAATTCAGATCTATAATTCACACCTTAATACAGATACAATATTAATGTTGGACTGATGTATTTGTGCATTTTTTTTTCTGGACTATCACTTCTGAAACTGCCCAGAAAAAGGGAAAGACTTTCTCATTTTTGTCAGTATAATTATATGGCTCTCAAAGGATTTGCTCCTGTTTTCACCCGTCAGGAGAGAAGTAGTAGACTCATAATACACAACAAATAAATTGCACTTCCTGCCTTCAGATCTCTCAGTCAGACTGATGAAGGCAGATAAAGGGGGAAAAAAAGCACTCGAACAAAGGGGTGAAAGTCATGTTTGGTCTTTTTGGAAAAAAGGAGAGTGGAGCCTGATCGGGGCTGTAATGAGAGTGGTTTCAAAGGGGAGGGGTGACAGGAGGTGGGACATTCCCTCTGCCAGATTTTGATTTAAACCTGAGCACAATGGTGAGGCACCTGTTGAGAGCTGAAAGCTTTGCTGGGGATTGTGGTGCTAATTGTCTCCTCGCAGCTGGGGGATTATGTGTAACCCGAGCACTGCGGGTCTTATGGCAGCCCCACAAGCACTGGGGGGAAAAGTTCCTGTTTTCTGCAGTTAATGCCACCAAATGGGGTGTGTGCAGTTTGTCTTTCAGCTCACCTTACCGCGATGCGCTTTTAAAAAGGGGGATTTCAATCTGCAAGTACCACTGGAAGTGCAAGGATGTTGTTTGAACTTCGAAAGTAATTGTGATTCTACTAAATATTATATCATATACAGAACCGAGTAAAATCTCCCTTTCTCTGTCCATGTGATGGTTTGGTTTTTCCCCTCTGTATTTTAAAAATACCTTTCATTGTATAAACACACTTAATCTCGAGGGATGCTCTGATGCCTGGAGTAACGAGTAACAGTTCATTTTATGCCTGTGTGAGACTCCATTCACTTCACTGAGCCACCCTGGGATCACTGGGTTTGACTATGATGTGAATTTGTGTTTCTTTTTTTTTTTTTCTTGTCCCAAGAAAAGAGAATGACTTTGATGGTATCAGCCTTTTATCAGTCATCTGAGGACAGGCAATAGAAAGCAGCCCCAAAGTATTTGTAACTGGATGACATGCAGAAGGAAGAGCTGCAACTCATGAAATTAGACCCTTAAAATCTTGTTCTCCTTCATTTATTCATAACCCAAAGTAACTGTGGAAGTTTCTCAAGGTTTACATTAAAATGGGGTCATAGATGACAATTTGGTGCAAATCCAGGGTTCTAAATTTACTGTTGCAAGGGCTCTTTAACAATAAATAAGTAAAAGAGGAACTTTTAATGTTTCTCACATGAGTACTGCAACATGTTCCTGGAGAATATTAGATACTACTTTAGAAGCAAATCAAAACACCAGCATTTGTGATCTGCTCCACTTTTTCATAATGTTATCAATCTATATTAAAAAAGTCATTGTGGAAGCACTGAGAAAAATAACTAAAGAATATTTTTTCCTTCAAAGGTCTGCCATTAAAACATATTGCCCACATGTACACTATGTAAATATTTATTAGAATTATGACAGTTTTGCTGATGTTTAAGACATTGTAACATTGGATTAAAATGTTAGAAAATTGCATTCAGCTATCTTGTCTCTCCCTTGATAACATTGCATTGTTCTCTGAAAGATGCTTTATTTTTTGTACCATACAAAGTGCTTCAAATTTAGGACTAAGACTAGTTCAGATCCTGTCAAAAAAAAAAAAAAGTATCTGAATTGCAGTAGTATTTCTATTCATTTGCTTAGTAACAGGAGCTACAAAAGATTAACATAAAGTATTCTTGTAAGTCAAAGAAATAGCATTGAGTTGCATCTATAGCTCTTAACTTATACTCCAAGTTTGAACACCCTGAAAATTATCCTTTTTTTTTTCCCTGAAGGGAAATGATTCCAGGCTTTACATCCTTAGGTAACACTGAATTCTCTTATTTAGGTTCAAACTTAGTAATGAAGACAATTTCTGCCCTGAGAAACTGGATGTTGACTTGATCAAACTTAATGATGGAAAACACCTGAGACCAATGAGCCCTGAACGACAACTCCTGTGTCCTCCAGCTGTGGGTTCTGCCAAGGTAAAATGCAAAACCATCAGAACTGAAAAAGGGAAGAGCTTATCTTAAATATTTCAGTTAAAGAACCATGATTTCTGCAACTAAGTGACTTGTTGCTTGTTTGCGCTGTCTGGAGGAGTGGAATGCATTGCTCGGGCTTGTCACCCAGTGAGCTTCAAACAGCTTCCTTGAAATGCAAAAATGTTCTTGTTTGACTGACATCTCACTGTTCATGTTCAGTATTTCCAGTGGGTTGCCTCCAGCTCACTAAACAAACAGACATACTGTCATAAAACGGTGTATTCTCCAGTGGAATAGGGATAAATCAAAAGGGAAAACAGTCAGTTCAGGATGGTAATTGCAGTAACTTGTGTTATTGTAGCTCAGCATGGTTGTAAATATAAATCTACTAGAAAGAATCAGGAAAAAAGGTACATTTAAACACAACATTTTTAAAAGGCATAGTCACTTGCTTGTGTTAAAAGCTCATCTATAGGCCTGGAAATACTTAGAACTTAGAGTGGTGAAAGGAAATCTTGTTGAAGAAATGTGAAAGTAACATTTTTGGCAGCCCACTTGGGGTGATGTCATTCTACAGAATGTGCTAAAGGCTGTTATTTTACAGCAGGAACCGATTCCTCAAGGCAGGCAGAGTCTATGGGCACTTAGTGTTGCTCTCAACTCCAGCCAGCCGAGATCTGAGCTTCTTACACCTCGTTAGCTGGTAATAAACTGTGCCCGCTCCTCCCCGTGGCACCCACAGGTTTGCTGTCCTGGACAGACACCCCGGGCAGGTTTGACACCTCCTGCACGCTGGGCTGTCCCTGGGCTGAGGGTCTGCTCGGTGCTCACGCCCAGAGTTCTGTCCTGGCTTCTGGGGGAGGAGCCCACGGGAAGCAGAGCTTTGGGAAGGCAGGGAGGGCCTCCCCACCCCCCACCGCGGGGGCAGTTCCTTGGGAGGGGACAGTCCCTTTGGAGGTGACAATCCCTTGGGAG